GGTTGGTGGACTAAAAGGTCTTTTTTTATTGCTTTTCTTCTGTTTGCATATTGATTTCACGCCAAACTCGACAAATCATAAATTCACATATCAAAATAATAACACAAATTCACAGATCATTGACATCACAAATTCACATACTCAACAAAATTAATGATTCACAACATCACCACACATAACAGAAAACAACAAAAAAACGACGCTGGGAGGGAGACGAGCGCGGGGCCGCCGCCGCTGCACTTGAGCGCCCACTCCGACACCACCGACGTCCTGGCCGTGCACGGAGAAGTTGAAGCCGAAGCGGCTGCTGTTGAGCAGGACGACCCGAGGTCGCCGCCCGCGGCTGCCCCGGTCGCCGCCGCACGGCCGCAAACCTCCGTGCGAGCAGCTGCCACCTGCCGCGGCTCACCGAGGCCGCCGCCTCCTGCCCGCCGCCGCCTGCTGCCGGGAGAGGGGATCGGAGGAGTGGAGGAGGAAAAGAAGGAGAAGAGGAGAAGAGGGGATAAGATAGAAGATAATTAAGGAGGCAGTGCGCGCGGATGCCAAGAAGATAAGGGGAGAGAGAGCGCATGTGAGATTTAGCCCCGGTAGGTAATACCAACTGGGATTAAAGATATGATCTCTTGACATGGCTTGCAGCTATTGAACCAGGACTAAAAATGATCTTCATCTAAGTCCCGTGGTAGTTTTAAACCGGAAAAAAAGATGTTTAGTCCCGCTTAGTACCAATAATGAAATAATAGTCCGCCTGTTTCAATACAGAACCAGTGACAGTTAGTGAACTTTCTTGTCTAAAATTCTGATTCTCTAGAGTCCGGATGCAGAGAATCCAAATAACTGTAGGCATAATTTTGACTCCTTGCTTTGCAAATGGTATCAAAGTTCTGGCTGCAGCGTTCATCGAGAAATCATCTTATATCAAAATAGAACTTTCGAATGAACTACCAAAGTTTTCTTTCATGCCGTTTGATGGTTACCGTTTAACGGAGTTTCCATTTGTCATCTAACGTTCTAATTACTCGGTTGAAAGACTAAAGAAAAGGCATTGTTAGTAATGCAAATCATTCAAAAGACACACAATTTTCTTACTGAATATACATCAGTAGGAATATAACCTGTTAAATAAACTGTCCCTAATTAATAAACTACATTCTCACACTGACCTAACACTTCAATCTTGCCTAATCTCCTCTTATTGCCAGATTGAGGCGGCATCTGCATATATACATTTATCAGGCACGCATGTGAAGATCAAGATCTGTAGTATGGTGATGGTGCATGACTTCACCCACTTGCCTTTAGTGAGGTTTAGATACAACAAAGCACGCATGCATAAATGGCTGACAACTAACAAATAGTAGTATCTATAAAAACTACTGCCGCTGCATAAATATTGCTAGATAACTTTTGTATCTTTGTGATGCTGCTTGTACTCCCACTGTTTCATATTATAAGTTGCTTTGACTTTTTTCCTAATCAAACTTTGTTAAATTTGACTAAGTTTATAGAAAAAATTAGCAATATATTAAGCACCAATTTAGTTTCATTAAATCTAGCATTGAATATATTTTGATAATATATTTATTTTGTGTTAAAAATACTACTATATTTTTGTTATAAACTTAGCAAACGTAAAGAAGTATGAGTAGGAAAAAGTCAAAACTGAGACGGAGGGAGTACGTGGTAAAACAACTATGGCATTTGAATCAAAAGCGGAAATAGTTGCACCGTTAAGTCAAAGCATAAGAGTGGGTGCGATTAGCTAAGGGCATGGGTTTTACATTTCGGAATGCAAGGAAAGACATCACCAATCAGTGGTTGAGTATAAAGGTTTAGTAGAATGAATTGGATTTGGACCAAGTTTAACACATTTTGACCAAATTGTTTTGACTGCAGTCACTAATTATGAAGACTAAATAGTATATCTGAAATTTCAGAGCTTGTGCTAATTGCAATGTGAATGATTATTAGCATAGTGATATAATTAAACAATAGATAGATTAAATATGAACATGGGTATTCATTGGCTGCATAGTGGTTTTCTCTAATGTCTCAATTAGAAGTGCTAAAAATAGATTAAGATGATAATCTCTACTTTCTGTCAAGATATCGACTACACAGAGGAATTCTAGGTTAGCATAGCGCAAACACTATATACACACACAAAAAGAAATATTTTCATAATAACTTACCAAGACTTCATCACAACTCTATGCAAATATCAATGTTTACTGGATGAATGCTCATGGTTGGTAAGGTATGCATGATCGTGTGATCTTTTCCTCATGAATCATGTGAAAGGGAGGATAAAGTTCACGAATCTGAAGAAAAACCTGTACATTTATCTTATGAAACATTTTTTTTGAAAAAACAGTTTTTCACAAACTCCTTAATTTGGCCGAGTATGAATCAGATTTTCTGAACCTTCAAGCTTCCCTTTTCCCTCTTCAAGATCGTAGAAAGAGACCGTTCCATTACTCAAATAATCATATTGATATCGTTCTATTACTCGTATTTGCTTACTCCAGTTAGCTTCTTACCACCGAAATAACGGCACTCAATTTTAGTACAATATACAGGTGACGGTTAATAAACTTTCTTTTTCTCAACTTCTGATCTTCTGGAGTCTGTATGCAAAGAATCTAAATACCGTGGGCGTAAATTTCACTGATTAATTAATGTATGGAAATTGCATCCAAGCGTTGGTTGCGGTGTTCATTGGAAAAGCCTGACTGAAGGACCATGGCTCAGCTGCGTTCATTGGAAAAGCCTAACTGGGTGGTCTAACAGTCTAATCGCCAGCTCGGCATGCTCTAATCGAGGAACGTGGTCATTTTTTTAAAAAAAAAAAAACATTGCTCCTTTACCATGTGTTAGAAAAAAGAAGCTCATGTGGGCCTACAAGATGGGCCGAAAGTGTCCGCTAGCAGCGAAGTTGCGCCAAACAGTATTCCTTACATAACCTAGAGGACCCAAATGATACTATTTTACATCTCAATAATTCCGAAAATGCTTGTATCCGGACGTCCGATCGAACATAAAAAAATCGGACGCCTGCACACTCCTTAAACCATGTAATAAGATTAATAATAGTGTCCATCACAATCCCTCATCGTTCTCCCTCTCATATTTATATTGCGTAGACATTTATCTCATAAAGTAGCCTATGTAATTGCTCTAACATAAAGTAGCCCATATTCTCTCTCTCGTATGCCTCTACTGCTATGACATAAAGTAGCCAATATTCTCTCTCTCGAATGCCTCTACTACCACACATGCTTCTACTCCTTAATGAATAACTCCAAATAATCCTATTTCACAAATTATTTATCTAATCCGTAATCTAAATATACCATTGTATTCACCGCAATTAAATCTTCATAACAAGATCTCACTTAACTATATTTTGGTAATTTTTTAAAAAAGTTTTTCTTTGTAATGGAATTTTTAGTTGTTGCAATAGGTATTTAATAATGTTTCGATAGGTCATTTGGAAATGTTGCACGAGGTGTTTTTTTATGTTTCAAGAGGTATTTTGTGATGTCTTCGACTGATGTTTCACTGTATCTTTTTTTAATGTTGCACGTGGTGTTCTTTAAATGTTACATGAGGTATTTTATGATGTTTCAGCTAATATTTTACTAGGTCATTTTAAAGTGTTGCACATGGTATTATTTTGATGTTATACCATATACTTTGTGATGTTTCAGTAGGCATTTTGTGGTGTTTCAGCAGTTACAACTCATTGTTTCATATATAATATAAAAATGTTTCAGCTATGAATATAATTAAATATATATAATTTATTAAAAATATAATCATGTGGGATCTCTTTGAAAAGATTTAATTGCAACGAATTCAATGGTGCAATCAGATTAAAAATCATATAAATAATTTGTAAGAAAAATAATTTATAATTTGCTAATAAAATGCACAAGTTAAGATATTTGCATTCACAAGAATAAATGAGAGAGAAATAATGCGTGTATATGAAGGCTGATAGATAAAAAGTGATACGTACATGGTGCATGGTGGGGAGGGATGCATGATGCGTACCGAGGAGCGGCCGTCCGATTTTTTCTCATAATTCGGACGTCCGATTTGTAGTGGCTTCCCAATAATTCACATGTCTAAATGAACATACAAAATGTGACCACAATTTAACATCATCGTGGTCTAGTTATCTCTCCTTGCAACACCATGATGCTATGGTGAAACAATTGTTTATTTATTGTGTGCTCCATCCCTCACACTGCATAAGGAGAGACTGATGGAAATAATATGCTTGTAGACATTGATCATTTTATCAATTTCAATGCCTAATGCTAGCTGCACGATAAGTATGTGCTGGATGGATATATGCCTGCATGCAGATGCAACAACCTCTATTGATTTCTTGGTGAAAAATCTCCTCACGTTAATCCGTTGAAGACTGGTTTTCAACTAAGTAGAGAACATGCACTCGTGGCCGTTTGGTGAAGGCGTTTTTGAGGAGGTCCAGATTAGCAGCAAGCATTTCCGTCTCCTTAACGGTGTGCATGCCTCGCTGACAGGTCTGGAGTCGTTCCTCGCTCCAGCCCATGTTGGAGAAGATTTTCTCTATCAAGTCGATGGCTCCTCAAACCGTCTTAGAGAAAAAGGCTCCTCTAGCTACCGTGTCCAGGTGGTCGCGAGACGTAGGAGTGAACCAAGTGTAAAAGTTCTGCAGGATCAGCCAGTCGTCCATCCCATGATGAGGACAGGCGGCCATATACTCCTGTAGTCGTTCCCATGCCTCGGGAATAGACTCATCTCTCGTCTGCTGGAAATTTGAAATTCTCCCACGAAGGGCGTTGGTTTTGCCCATCAGGAAGAACTTTGACAGGAATGCCGTTAAGCATTTGTCCTAGGTGTTGATCGTGGCACGGTTGGCATAAAACCACTGTTTCGCTTTCCCAAGAAGGAAAAACGGAAACAATCGCAGCCTGACGGCGTCAGGGCTGACGCCCTTTGTTGTGTACATGCTGAAGATCTCCGGAACTGTTGCAGATGTGCATTGGCATGCTCATTAGGCTTGTCGCAGAATAGGCTAGCCTGCGCCATCGTAATGAGGCTGGACTTCAGATCGAAATCCACGTCTCCCATGTTGATTTGCGGCCCAGTGGCCATGTTGTCAGCGGAGGTAGCAGCGAATTTGCGGAGGGTCTTGTCAGCCATAGTCTTGAAGGTTGGTGGCGTGGGAATGGCTGGTTTCTGTGTCGGAAGAGTTTTCTGCGGAGCAACAACTCACGGCTTGACGCTCCGAAAGAAAACTTCTGGATTTTCCTTGAAATTTTCTAGCAAGTTGAAACCAGTCATGCACTACTCTGTTTCCACCATAAAAGTGAAAACAACCAAGGTTAGCCTGCAAAGGACAGTGATTATAAAGAGGTAAATATAAAATATTAGTAATGGTAATCTCTTTTATAAATCTTCCCCAGCAACGACGCCAGAAATGCTTGTTGGTATTTATTAACGACATTGCTAGAAATATAATTCCTAACAATGGCGCAGAAATACTCCTTGTATATTATGGTTACAGAGTTCACCTGCAAGTGCACGGATATACCATTGTAGCATTTCACCCGAGAGTATTCCAAGGGTATCGTATTTGTTTAATCCCGTGGGAAGATTATAATAGAGAGAACCGTACTAATAATTTATATATTACTTGTATCAACCAAAGTCTAAGCAGGGGTTAATATAATGCATGGGGTAGAGTGATACTAAGCACAAGCATTCATACTCTTACTCATAATTATCTAAGCTAAGTGGAAAGAATATAGAAAGATCCTATTCCTATACTTTTAGTATACATACATATTATACATACATCCTAATTATATTATTACTTAGCTAATACCCTCTTTCCGATACCCTCCTGGTGCTTCGAGAAGCCACCCCTGATTATCGAGTTCCTTCCGACAATCCGTCATGACCATACAACCGGAGCTAAATACGGAGGAGTACCCTCCCCAGGAAATTAACTTAGGACTATATACACGTGTGGAGGAATACCCGTACTGAGTTGTCACCATCAGCGGCCCACCTCGCTTCCGCAGCATATAACCCTAAATAATGATATCCAATAATCTAAACACCATGCTTAAATTACCAAATACTACTATAATATCATCGTCATTACATAGAGTTGTCGTAAATACGATCATTATACCCACACCATTGCATCTCCCAGATAAGCTAGCATCATAATGAATATAACTGGGTATGTAATAAAGCTGGTATTCATATACTCGGAAAGTAATACAATTCCAAAGTAGTATAAAGAAGAATATTCTAAATAAAATACAAGTCTTATAAAAGAAGGAAAAGCTACTAGAGCCATACCCGAATTCTTCCGAAGACTCCGAGGACTGAAGATTCTATTCTATTTCTATTCTACAATAGTCTAAAAACTATACTAAACTTGAGAGATGAAATGAACTTCTTGCTTGAGGTGTCTATTGGAATGGAGAGAGTGAGCTCCTTATATAGCCTCCCAATGACGGTTGTGATGGTTGGAATGGTCAGAAATATCCTCCAACTATCATTGGGGGCTAATCCACACCGTCCAGCCGCAACCCTGCATCCAACGGCGCCAGGATGGGTTTGGCTGAACCCCTGGTTAGGCCGAACCAGGGGCTGACCCAATCTGGCCCATTTTCAGCCGGCGGTCTCCTCTTCTGTTGCTCACTTCAGACTTGTGAATTTTGGCTCAATTGGTCGTGTCATTTCTGTGTTCTTGGCCCATTCATTGATAAGTCTGATTCTCGACGTCGTCCAATTGAATGATCGCTTGTTTTGATGTCGATTCTTCTCCACTTTGTGTTCATTCTCTTCAAGAGGTTAGTAATCCTAGTGCTAGTGGAATATTAATTATTTTGACATAAATATGCATTGCAAGCATAACTAGTTCTCCTTTATTTAGGTAGTATTAATGGGCGAAACTGATCACTAACGACCGTCAACAGTCAGCTAGGGCAACCGGTAAATAGTTCGTCATTGCCTTGCTATCTCCTCCTGCTGCGCGGATTGCGAGGGTGTAGACAGTGAGCCATGACTCGGGATCAGTTTTTCCATCATACTTCTCGATACCGGTCGGCTTGAAACCAGCCAACCAATCCACTCGACGCAGATCACTTGTGAAAGCGGCGACTCTATCGTTCCCATCGTTGCGATCCGGTGTGTGGTGGCGTCGTCAGTCGTCTCTGTCCGCAAGGCGACGATTGAGGGTGTCACATAAGTCGACGGGCTGCCGATGACGGGGGGAGCAATGTTCTCGATGTTTGTCGGCGGGAGAGTGCACGGAGTGCTCCCGATGTGCCCTTCGATCGTGACATGATCTTGAATTAGCAGTGCTAAGGCTTGGTTGGTGATAGTCCTAAGATCGGAGAGGTGGAGCCCGGCTGTCGAGTGCTGCTGAGTGCTTCCCAAGTTGACTAGGACTGATGCGGCAATCATCATCTTCGTTTGATCGAGTATGGTAGCGACGTGGTCTAGTGCCCCAGCTGTCAAGAGGGTATCCAAAAGTGTGATCGCAGCAACTGTGTTCTGTTGCGGGGTGCAGAATACGCTGCTGGTGTCGATGTCTTGCTGTCTAATCAGTTCTTGTGCCTGACGCCCCGACGCCAAAGCACGCTGCCTTCGTTCCTCCGCCTCCCTTGCTAGTCGCTCGCGGTCTTGCTGCTCACGCAGCAATCTGGCTTGCTCTTGTGCTTGTCGTTCCTGCTCCAATCTGAGCCGCTTGACTTCTTGTCGTGCTCGTTGTTCATCGGCTTCACGAGCGAGGTGTTTTTCTTTTGTCTCATTATCAACCATAAAAACGCCGAAAAAGAGAGGAGTGTAATTGTCTTTGTAGTTGTCGTCGAAGTCTTCATCAAGGTCATCGTATTCATCGAAGTTGTGGAAATCATATTCGTCGTCAAAGTCACCATAGTCGATAATCTCAGTCGGAGGATGGGAATCAACGCTTGGAGTGGTGAGGTATTCCTCAATTTCTTCTGTAGAACATGATCCGAGTCACTGGAGGATTACGCCGAGTTCCCTGGAGCTAGATCCGACTGAGGTTGAAACCGAGTCAGTTCTAGACCTACGGGGAGAAGGCGCTCTTGAGTCGAAAACAGCAGCTAGATCGTCTGGCAGCCGCATCATAATTGGAGGATAAACTACGCCGTCTTGATTTAATCTTGAAGATGATGACACAGAGATCCCAACCGAGTGGTTTGAGGCAAACGTAGATGAGAGAACCTTGGAGTAGATCTCGGCTGATTCCGGGAGACCGAACGGGGTCGAGTCAGGGTCTCCTCCCGACTGGTTCGAATCCGATTCGAGAAGAGAAATCTTGCCGATGTTGTCGGTGATGAAGTCGAGGTTGCCGAACCGGTACGCCTGCTCAGGAGGGAAGGCGAAGTCATCGATGCCCGAAATGAATCCCATCACACTAGTCAGCGAAAAACTTGACGCAACCCCTACCTGGCGCGCCAACTGTCGAAACAAGATTTCGGCAATACTAAAAGGGTAGCAATTAAGCTGGAAAAGTGGATAGGTTAGGAGATAAAGGTTTATACAAGTTCAGGCCTTCTCGATGAGAATAATACCCTACTCCTGTGCGAGGAAATATTCCGCTGAGTGTATTATTGATCTGACGATCTAGGAGAACAGTTATGCCCCTAGGAGCACTTGGACCCCTCCTTATATAGAGGGAGGAGCCGGGATTACAATGTACAGCCCATATGCCTTACGGCTAACAGATATATTACAATTGTAACTGACTAGCACTACAGATATATTACAATTGTAACTAACTAGCACCACGGGATATTTCCAGTTAACATAAAACCCGAGTCCTTTGCTAAACATATTATATTTGTATAAGCTATCCCCTATAACCAGTCGGATATACATGCCATGTGGGTATGTGGTACCCATAATCTCCACACTTCTCTTTCCTAGTTCTGCGACGACCTGATGTCCTTGACAATGATTAGGTTTGCGATGATCTAAGATAGAGAGCTCCTCCTTGACATCGATTGGCAGTAGTGATATTGACGGAGAAATGGGATGGGTTTTCGTCCTATTTACACCGTGAATAATGATCAGGAAGGCAATCTAACGCAGCACCTCACGCATGTAGATTAACATGAAGATTGGTATTCGTATGCTATACGGTGGTTTTTGGTTTGTAATATCTCAAATAAAGTGCTAAACGTAATTTCAGATGATAATTTATCATATCTTTCCCTGTGAAGCTGCTGTCACTGTATATATACATACAAGAGATAAGGGGAAATTTCATAACTGACCAAAACATCATTATAACCTTATGTAGAAATCATGTGTACATTGAATGGATGCTCAAGGTTAGTATGCTAGGTATGATCGCGTGATCTTCCTAATGAGTCATGCGGAAGAGAGGATATATCAAACCCATGAATCTGAAGGGGAAAGTGAAACAATTTTTTTTCCGCTGGGAGAGAGTGAAACAAAATTTCGAAGAATAGTTTTTTCTTAATATCCTTTAATTTGGCTGAGAAGGAGTCGGTTTTTCAAAACCATCAAGCTTCTGTTTCTCCATCCCCAAGATAGTCAAGGAGAAGTTCCAAACTGCTATATATTCATAGATGGTTGCTCAGGAGTCAGATTGCAGAACCAGGGCTACGGAGTCGGGCATAGCATGTTATTCAGTTAGCCTTTTTTTCCGAAGTAAATATTATTCAGTTAGTACCGAAAAGAGAATCAATTAATACTGAAACTATATGAACCATGTCAATGCTTATATCATGCCTACATTAGGATCACAACATTTTTTTCCCTCTTTAACATTATATTATTTGCTTGGTTACGCTAGGTTTTTTTTTGTCCTTATATGTTTTCATTTCCTTTCAGTTTTTTCAAGGTGCTGGAACTATTATCCTAACAATATCATGTGATATCGTTCAAAGCTTAGTTCCACTAAAATAACGGTCATCCTGCTTCAATACAAATTATGCAAACCAAGACAGTTATTGAGCTTTCTCATCTAAAACTCTGATTCTCTGGAGTCTGTATATGCAGAGAATCCAAATAACTGTACGCATAATTTAGACTCATTGCTTTGCAAATGGTATCCAAGTTCTGGCTGCAGTGTTCATTGAGAAATCATCTTATATCAAAATAGAACTTTCGAATGAACTGCCAAA